TGCACTTTTTTAGCACGCGTCATGTGCTCGCTATCAATCCGATCGAGCTGAGACCCTCAAAGGCACGTTGCCCAAAGGCACGTATAAGTTGAAGTACCCCGCGCTAAGTAACACCATGCCGGGACCTCGATAGCAGACAGAATCTACGTCACCACATCACCACGCCACAACAAACCCGGCCCATGGCAATACATGTCCCATATGAGCGCGTTAACCCTCGCCGGCACAGGTCATTCCGGCCATTTTGCGTCCTTCGACGGCACAAGAGGGGGGGATGGTACGACCCCTTCGTGTTTGGCCCATGATCGAGCTAGAGCTTCGCGGGAAATACGAGCGTGTTCCCCGTGACGAGAGGAAGCCGACGATACCCAATTTTAAGGTTCTTGGTCATTGGTTGACCTTCCAGGTCAGGTCAATGACTGAAAAATCGGGAAAATCGGGACCTGTTAGAACGTCGTTAATTGTGGCTGCTATAGGGTTTTTCGGGGTACTGATCATGAATAGTTATCATGTTAGTTTTGATCACAGATGATGTCTTTATGCATTTAAGCCAGGTCGGGTCAGGTCAGGTCAGGTCAACCAGTAGGGGTCCTGCCGGGTATTCGTAGTACCTACGTGCCAGCCGCCTCTGGCATATGACCTTTAGGAAAAATCCGAGATATACAAGTTGTGAGACTCATAATGGATACTAGATCCTGCAAGTTTCATTTCCCTGTGACATCTCCTCTGGCAGTGAGGGCGTTGCGAAGTTGCGACATCTGAAGACCGTGCAGAGGTTCACTTATGACGTCATAGGTCAGTGACCTGACCTGACCCAAAAATGCAGTTGGTGTCAAAAGATCCGGCTTAGATCAAAGGTCAGGTATGCCACGTTTCAGCTCTCTATTGCCAGCGTGTTCGGAACTATCGCGAAAAACCCTATGGGGGGACGGCACCCGCCCCCCCCCCCTCGGCCGGCGAGGGTTAATTCTTTCACAGTGCGGCTCAGAAATGATTAGGGAATGCTGTGGTATGGTGCACTAACACTTAACAGGCACACAATATGTTAACTGCTGTAGGTGAAACCAAAGCAATTTTTAAAGTAAAAAACTGCGATTGCAACATGATGACAAATTGTTAGATCACCGCCAAACCAAAAGAGATACGACTTTTTGTGACCCAGCATGAGAAGCAGCAGGCTTTAGGGATCATTGCCATGTATAATTTTTGCCACTTGTATGAAATGAACGCACGCTAGCGGCGTTTAAACTTGCGAGTATCTGACAGTCATTTTACGACATAGAAAATGTCACGACTTCTGACAATCATACACGAGGCCGGTTTTGACAAAAATATGAAAATCATGTATTTTCAGACACCCCCAACATTTGCCTGACTGGCCATATTACTGTTACAGGGAGTATGCGATTTCAGTTAGTTTGCAACGACCCTAGGGTGGTTGTAACCTCCCTGAACGATCAGTTTGTTTGCAACGACCCTAGGGACGTTACAAAATAACTGCTCGTTCCGGGACGTTGTAACGAAACTAGGGTCGTTGCAACCTCCCTAGTTAGTATGCAACGAACCTAGGGTTGTTACAAAATAACTAGGGAGTTTAAGAAATCATCGAGTCTCGTTTCACAGGGGGCACATGGGGGGGGGGGTGGGGTGGTTGCCACTCCCCCAGGTAGTCTTTCTGCTCTGCACTCAACATTTTCAGAGCTAGAAGCCTGATTTGTGGTATAGCTGCTCCTCTATCCTTTCTAGATGTTCACTAAAAAATTCAAGTTTTTGTGGTTTTTGGTTTCGGAGATATGACCTTGTTTTTCAGGTCATGTCATGACCCAAATGGCCAATTCTCAACATCTTGCGTTGGCTATGGGCCTTGTGAGCTTTTGACACCTTGATTTCGGCCTTTTTTGCCAGTCTTACCTCCCACCTATCATGGAACATGTTGTTCGACGATGTACAGATGTCAAGGTCAGGGTTAAGGTCAACCTAGGTCATCTAAAATAATTGCGTTTTAGGCAAGCTGAATTTACTTTTCGTGAAGTTTTTTGACTGCCTTCTTGGTGAAAGCTTCTCAGATCATGATTTCATGTAATAGGAACACAAACAATCGGTGCACACATCATTATACACACAGACACACACAGACATACAAACACATATCATTGACCTCGACCTAACTTGACCTGAAATGACCTCAGCAGCAAAAATCTGGTCGGGTAGTGTGACAAAGAGGTTCTAGCTAGCTGGGCACCAGAAAACGGCATCGTCATCGCTATATGATAAGCAGCGCACTTGATATCCAACGGTGACCCAAAACAGCAACATTTTTTAGTTTGACTGACTGACTGACCTGAGAAGGTAAAACTAGGTATCATTGGATTCGTTTCTTCCCAAAGAATCTTTTTGGTCTTTACCGCGAAGCTCTATCTCCAAAAGGAACGAAATGGCGCGGGGGGGTGGCAACCCCCCCCCTCATGTGCGTTCTAGGATGGGAAAATGGCATGTGCGGGCGAGGGTTAACTCTCGCCCTTATTGGTGTTTTGCTAGCTGCAAACGCACATGGCGGGGCTAGGTTATTGGTTGACTTTCCAGGTCAGGTCAGTGACTCAGAAGTCGGGAAAATCAGGACCTGTTAAAACTTTGGAGAGTTAGCTTGTTACGAGGTTTTTCGGTGCGCTGATCACGAATTTCATGTTAGCTTTGATCACCGATGATGTCTTGATGTTTTTGGGTCAGGTCAGGTCAGGTCAACCAGTAGGCGTCTTGCTAGCTGTCCATAGTAGGTGTCAACCACCACTGACAGCCTCGTGACATGGTATGAAGGCGCCAAAATTACTTCTTAAATGTTCAAATGGGTGCTAAATTCGAAATCAGCTCCAAAAACTAGCCTAAAGAATATATGAACCCAGAAGAAGTGAACTAAGGTCATCAAAGGTCAATGACCTTGACCTGACCTTCACGTGACCTTGACACCCACTATAATGCATGGGACCATCATCATTTCACATGTTAGAACGTTAACAATCACAAAAAGACTGGAAACGAGCGGATAATAACCGTTTTTACGAAGGGCTTCCTGGCAAATGCCCATCTAATTTGAACAAATCTGCACCAAATGTGCACCTAATCTCCACAAAATGTGTACTAGATGGCCGTCGTGAAATATTCCTGAGCTGAATGTTCAAATTTTGCTCTTCTTTTCTTTTTAAATGAACTAGATTGAACAAGATTTTCAATGGACAAGATTGCTGACGGCCCTCATGTGAAATGAGACTCGATGAATTCTTAAACTCCCTAGTTATTTTGTAACAACCCTAGGTTCGTTGCATACTAACTAGGGAGGTTGCAACGACCCTAGTTTCGTTACAACATCCCGGAACGAGCAGTTATTTTGTAACGTCCCTAGGGTCGTTGCAAACAAACTGATCGTTCAGGGAGGTTACAACCACCCTAGGGTCGTTGCAAACTAACTGAAATCGCATACTCCCTGTAACATTACGATTTAATCGATTAGGTAAACTTTAAATTTGGTCTTTTTCGGTATTTACAGCTACTCGTGAACCCCATTTGCATCACTGTGTTTTGGTCGATGCTGGTGTCCCGATCACCAATGGCTACACCATGGCTACACTTTACTGGATGGTCCAGTAATGCCTAAGGCGTAGTACGCACGTGCGTAGTTTTACAACTCTCCGTTCAGTGGCGGTCACAGAGATTAGACTCCGGGGTGGCATGCCCCAAATGGAGTGAATATTCCCGTTTTTCGATTATGGCGAGCATTCTGTTGCAGGTGGAACTGTGACGCGTTAGATAAAGTTGTCCAACTGGAACACGAATCTGTGAGATACTCTCTTTTGATGATAGGCATCACCATTAATGATTGGTGCTAGGTTTCGTCCGATTACAGTATATGCGCACATTACTTCAGCGGTGACCTGTACCTCAGTCGCCGAGGCCCCTCCCCACCCACCCAGTCGAGTATCCGGTTAGGTCGGTTGATCAGCCATGTCTACTGTCTAGCGCACCGAGCCCCCGCAGTTTCAGGGTCGCCTCGCCTCCACTACGCCGTCTTCCGACCGGATGGTGATGTCAAAACGACGACAGAACTCTGGAGGGATCCAACAAAACTGCCTCTGACCACAACGCCCGTGCCGAAAACCCACAACTAGCAGACACAGGCGGAACTCGGGGCCAATTTGGGACTAGCGGCTGAGAGTAACCCAGTTCTTAGTTTGATGGTAGCAGTGCGGCAGAAACAGACTGGGCAAGTTTTCTATCGTTGTTGCATAGCGTGTTGTCGGGTTTGAAAGATGGAAGTGTGTATGGTCTTTTCACGTCAGTTCTGTGCAAAATACATTAACGCTTGGCGTCAGAGGTGCAGCCGGCCCCCGTTTTCCTGGAGGTGTCCGGCATATGAGGGAGCCAACCACAGAGGGTGCGGGCGCCAATTGGAGGCTAGATAAGCGCCAGCGGTCGGGTAAGCAAACACAGCCCGCCCGGCCTGGCGAGAACACTGCGCCGGGCGCCCCCAGTGCGTGAGTGGCACGCCACACGGCGGCCGCTCATGTTTTCGTTTTTTTCTTCTTTCTTATTTTTCCTTTGTCTCCCTCCGTCAACTCCAGCGTCTTTCAGCTAGGGAGAGCTGGAACACGCGCAATAGGAGCTGGCGGAGGTCGAGGCCGCACTACGCCAAATCCTCCCGGATACCGAGGTAAGAGACGGGTAGGTCCGGCCCCTCAGTTCAGGCTCATCACACCACACAGGCGCCAGCGACGCCAACGTTCACTACGGTGTGCGCGATTGCCTAGTGTCAACAAACGCACGGCAGATGTAAAGAGAGGGCCAGTTATTCAGCTGTTCTCCGAAAGAATCGAAAGTCAAAAACTGTAAGGTAGCTGCTGATTTGCAGCAATGACTTTTTTTACACTTTATCGTTTAAGCACAAGTATAATATAACCCGTAACATATAAAAACCAGAGAAGTATAAATGCTGGGGTGTAAAAACCAACGTAAAAAAGCAATATGTATTGACAAACAGTTTCGGGGTTGACACAAGCACAAACTGCCATCGAAAACACAAAGGCACAAAAACGTAGGAACTCTCATTGCTTTAAATGACACACAAAGGAACATTCACTGACTGAAACTTTTGAACTCCTTTTGAGTTATGCAGTACCCCGATTCAGCGACCATCGATCAGAAGTATCTCACTATTGGCGCTTCCTCATCCTGCTCAGGGTTTCAAGAGATCAAAATCACATTGACCTACCCGGTTGCCTTATCGGAACTAGGCAAGGTCATTGTCCATGAAACTATATGAACTACATGGAACTACATGTCCATATACCTACCATACCTGAGCTGGTTTTGAAGAAGAGACGTGTTTGTACACTGGATTATCACAAACAAGTCTACAGGCCGACGAGCACAGCCTTCAGTACGTCATATCATCGCACTGATCAGCAGACAACAAACATGAGCAATATAAACAGCTTAAATCACGACTTCTGAAGCTGAATGTAATTAATGAGCTCTCACTGCGTAATCATGTCAGCTCATTACACTTAACATAGCAAATGTTCTTACATCCGCAACTAAAAAAGCCAGTCTGTCTTTCATGAAGACCATCGTCTACTACTCAGCCCGGCGCATAGCTTCCGAGCGCAAACGAACTTTCTCATGGTCATGGCTTTGATACAACGTATAATCTGAGCTCCGAATCTTAGCACATATGAGTCTTCCGCAAACACAGCCAAATTGCGTAGTGGAACTTGCACTATAGTCCACAACTAAATCTTTTACGAATCTTTTTTTTTTCTCGGGACACAGCACGCGGCTCAGTTTCTGCTCCAGGGCTGAAACACAACGAACAGTACACACTCATCACAAAGAGATCGCGCATCACATGGTTGGTAGAGCGCCGTGTGGCGGCGCTTACACTGGACTTGGATCGTTGGTGTCCGGCTCGCCCCCGCTTGGTGAGTTCACATAGGCCGGTGGTGGTGTGGCCGCACCAGCGACTTCGTCCGGCTGCGGGGACCCCTGCCCCTGCATCACCATATACACCTGTGAGGAACAGCCAGAGTCAGATGACACTAAAAGACACGGCGAGGATACACCGGGTTTCAGATGACATAGTGACACACATGGGCGGATACACCAGGTATCAGATGACACCGTGTTACACACAGGGGCGGATACATCAGGTGTCAGATGTCAGGTTAGTATGTGTCCGAACTCAACGTCAGTGAGGCGGTTGTGAAGTGTTGTGACGGGCTTACCCATGCAGCACTTGCGTTTCCCGGTTACTCACTAACCAGGTTTACTACACCGCTATCCTCGTAGCTTAACCCTCGCCCGCACATGGGGGGGGGGGGGGGGCGGGGGCGAAGGGCCACCCCAGGTAGTTTTATTTCTGCGCTGCACTAAACATTTTTAAAGCTAGAAGTCTGATTTTGCGTATCGCTGATTTTCTATCCTTTCTCAGCGTCCAACGAAAATTTAAAGGTTCTGTGGTTTTTGGTTTCGGAGATATGACCTTGTTCTTCGGAGACCGTTTGCTGGGGGGGGGGGGGGGCGTTAACAACCGATAACTCGAGAACCAAAAACGCAGCGAAACGCACGAGGCGGCAAACGAAAGAACGCGACGAGACGCTTCAGATGAGTACTTCAAAGTTGAATTTTGAGGTCACAGGTCGGGTCAAGGTCAGGTCAAACGCCTGAAATCGGGCTTTCAGTAGCATGGACTTCAGGACTTTGCAATGGGCGCCTCTCGTCATAAACTCTGTCAAAACGGTGCACAATCCATCATATAAGGCCTACAAGAGTGTCAGCTCCATGTATGGGTCAAAAAAGCATAGGTCAGGGTCAAGGTCAGGTCAACCGGGTAGGCACATATCCCCGAAAATAAAAACTGATATTCGCAGCCTGTGACAAATGTTTTATTACGGAGCGAGCGAAGCGAGCGAAGTCTTTCCTTAGATTAACGGAAATTTCTGAGTATGAGCGGCCGGCCGGCCGGCCGGCCGGCCGGCCGGCCGGCCGTGCGGACGCTTTTGCGAGGCTTATATCTCAGCAACCACTTGACCGATTTACACGCGGTAATTTTTGTAGGGTAGCTTCATTCCTTCTACCAAGTATTGGACCATTCCCGATGCATATAGGTGACCCCTTATGCACGTGCCACGTGCAAAACGAAGAGGTGTCAGTTTTGTAATTGTTGCAATATCTCGGTAACTACTTGGCCGATTGCGCTGAAAGTTGGTATGTAGGTAGGCACCCACTAGGCACTGCATATCCATGTGCCAGAGTTGGGGTGCTGCTGCACGTGCGCACGTGCAGGGGTCGTTTCCAGATCTCGAGAACGGCTGGACCGATGGCGCTCAAATTTGGTACACGGTTAGGGACCAGTTAGTAGGGTGCCGTGCACAAGTCAGTTGGGACCCATTTTGCACGTGCGCACGTGCAGGGTGCCGCTCCCAGATCTCGAGAACGGCTGGGCCGATTGTGCTCAAATTTGGCACATCGCTAGAAACCGGTCATTAGGGTGCCGTGCACGAGTCAGTTGGAGGTGCCCCCTCGAAATTTCGCACGTGCAAGACTCAACCCCTCGCTCGCTCCGTTAGTCGCCCCAAAAGGCGCTATACTGGTGGGTAATTTGGGGCGTAGAACACGACGGTGACATTCATTTTATCATATGTGTACGTGTTTGGCTCAAAAAGTTCAATTTAAGAAATGCATGTAACATGGTGCTGAAGTAGTCACGAGAAATTGCCAAGATTCAGTTCAAGATTTTGGAAAGTGGGGAGCGATAATCAATAATCGAAGATAGTCATTTGATTGTTCATGGTATTGGCAGTCTAATGGCGTTTACGGCATGTCTGTATGTCTATTCTGTGATTTTATATGATTTTTTTAACATATGCCGTTTTTGGTCGAAAACTCAGAAATCATGACGTCACTAAAACCTCGATATCTCAAAACATTTTCGACCGATTTTTTTGAAACTTTGTCACAATAAACTTCAATCAATTCCCTACAGATACCCAAAATTTGGCGCGCCTGCAGCGCCAAATGCCAGCGCCCGGCGAAAAAAGTGGGGGCGTTTAACGCCCCCCCCCCCTCCAGCAACTCGCGGGCTATGTGCGTTCTAGGATGGGAAAATGGCATGTGCGGACGAGGGTTAAGTATATACAGGATGTTGCACCAATACTGGTTGGTCACATCTTAGCTGCTAACACGGAGAAAACTGGAGATCTCGGGTCAGGGACACGGCTCTTTCTGGCTGCTTGGGTTGAGAAGGAGCGGAGAGATGTCTAAAGCTCCTGTCAGGGTCGCAACCTCTAGAAACAAGCCGACAGCTCTGGGGTCAAAGAAAACGCTCTACGTGCCGGACTTTATGACAAATCAGCGAGATTGTGGAATGTGGAATGAACATTTTGCAGTTGTGAAACCGCCGCCAAGTTTGGGCGTGACGGATGAGTCGCATTTCAACTTGTGAATCAATGCTTTTGTTTTTAGTGTGTGGGCTCTACACACACACACACAAAAAAACTAGTGGTTACGTGAGTGGGCGAATAAAGGCCGCCGTCCACGGTGCGGAACGCTTGCGGTCCGTACGGAAATCGTGTGCGCTCCGTGCGGACCGTATCCAAACGGCAATCAGCTGTTGATTTTCCGTCAGCTCTCCGCTTGTGTTTCGGAAGCGGTTGCCACGGAAACGAAATAACAAAGTCCGACGTTGAACTTTTCTGCGGAGAACGCAGACGGAACGGACACAGACAGGGGCCGTCTTCCGTCTTCGAGTTTTCCATTGCAAATTTAAGAAAGAATTTCAACTCTTTCAATATGAAGAAAGTAAACATAATTTCCTTGACATGGCAGCACTATGTTATGCCATTAAATTGCTATATTTTCTTTTGTAATAACTGATAACTGCTCTTCACAAAGTGTTCGCCAGTGTCCGTGAGCTTTCCGTCTGCGGTCCGGATGCGGTCAGCGTGCGGCGACATTCCTGACGGACTCCGGACGGAATTCCGTTACAGTGGACGGCGGCCTTAAGTGAATAAAGTGATAAGTGCTAAGTGAATGAGTACCTGAGAGTGAGTGAGAATTGAGGAACGTAAAGTAAAAGAAAGATAGAAATAGGTAGAGATAGATAGATAGATAGATAGATAGATAGATAGATAGAGAGAGAGAGAGAGAGAGAGAGAGAGAGAGAGAGAGAGAGAGAGAGAGAGAGAGAGAGAGAGAGAGAGAGAGAGAGAGAGAGATAGAGAGAGAGAGAGAGAGAGAGAGAGACTACATTCAACCCGACTCAGACGTGGACCCGGCTACTCACATTTGGTGCGAAGCCGTCGACCATGGTGCCGATCCGCTCGACCAGCTGACAGAAGCTGGGTCGGCTGTGGGCCTCGAGCTCCCAGCAGTGCAACATCACGGCGTACCTAGGGGATTCGGGCAGTGTCATACCCCCGACACTTCGTATCCAATATCCCGATATACAGCTGAGACAGCTGTGTCTTTGACATCGCGTAGCCGGCACTTCATTTCTTAGTACCTATGAGCACTTCTGCGAATAGTTTTATCTTTTAGGGAGGCGGTGAGGCGAGTCATACCCGGGGACTGCAACAACAGCATAGGCGTAGGAACAGGGGGGGGGGGGCAGGTGGGCAAGTGCCCACCCACTTTTCGAGGTTGGGGGGGGGGGGGGCAACCATGTGTTTTGGTCCACCCACTTTTTACTCGAGGCCCCTCGTCTCGATTTGAGAGGACGTCGTCACCTTCCAGAATAAACAAACTCGGTAAAAATAAGTTCCACGAATCCCCACGCACGGACTCCAAGGGGCCGTGATGGATCCAAGGAGGCCCTCTGTTCATACTTGTCAGTCGAAGCCCCTGAGACTGATGGCCTGAGAGGCCCTAGTGGATCTGAGTAGGCCCCAATATCCACACTGGTCTGGGGAGGCCCCTGACACTGGCGGTCTGGGAGGCCCCTCTATCCACACTAGTCAGAGGTCTGAGACTAGTGGTCTGGGAGGCCCCTCCATCCACACTAGTCAGAATAGGCCCCTAACACTGGCGGTCTAGCCGAGGCCCCCTACCCTCACTCCTCCTCTATCCTCAATAGTCAGAAGAGGCCCCTGAGACTGATGGTCTGGGATGCCTATCCATCTACACTGTAGTCAGAGGAGGCCCCTGAGACTGATGACCTGAGAGGCCCTTATAATCACACCAGGCAGAAGAGGCCCACGAGACTGATGGACTGAGAGGTCCTTCTATTCATACTGGCCACAGGAGACCCCCAAAACTTTCGGTCTGGGAGGTCCCTCAATCCCCTATGGGCGCATGCGGTCTCCGTCCGGAGTCGGTCAGGAATGTCTCCGCATCCGGACAGCAAACGGAGAGCTCACGCACGCTCGATATCAGCTGTTACAAAAAGAAAATATGGCCATTGCCTAGCATCACAAGATGGTGCCATGCCAAGGAAATAATATTAAATTACTTTGTCTTGAAAGAGTTGAACTTCAATCTTAAATTTGCAATTGAAAACTCGAAGACGGACGACGGGCCATGTCCGCATCCATTCCGTCTGCGTTCTCCGCACAAAGTTCAACACGTCGTACTTTGGTACTTCGTCTCTGCGACAGCCGCGACAGCCACTTCGGATGTCGATTGATAACCCGATTTCGAATTTAGCTCGAGGGAGGTCACGCGCGACTTGCATAACGTGACTTCCGAGTCGGGACTGAATATAATTACGCCAATTATCAGCGATATGTGTCCACACAACATGGATGCGGTCCGCACACGATTTCCGTACGGACCGGATGCGCCCACCTAAATTCCGTACGGACCGCAAGCATTCCGCACAGTGGACGGCGGCCTTAAGGGTTTTCAGGGGTCATGCGCCGTTTGCGGCAAATAGATTCTAAAAAAATCGGAGGGGGAATAAGTTTTAAAAATGGTGCAGACGTTCCGCACTGTTCACTTAAGCGGTTACGCCCCTGGGTAGGTACATCTGCCCGATCTCAGAAGCTAGATTTGGAGGTCATACTTGAAAGCAACCAGCAGGACGAGGCAAAAGTTGGAGGCCCCTGAAAATAGGAGGCCCCCTGGAAAAGGAGGCCCCTTGACAGGGTGGCCCACCCACTTTTCATGACGTTCCTACGCCCGTGAACAACAGAACAGCGCGCATTTCTGGGCAGGCTCACTGACGCCGCGTTCAAACAATGCTATCGCATGGCTTACGCTCCAAGGATTCAGAGCTGTCATAAAGACGCATTTCGAGTTCAGCGGATATGATAATCGGATTCAAGTACGCGTAACTGTTCGGGAAATCCACCCTGTCTAAGTGGATATCCCAAAGTTCTGCGAATAGTTCAAAGGCGTGTTTTTTTCTCCTCACGGAAGCCGGTTACTGAGCAGTACAGCCAGACTGCGGTGGTCTGACCCCGCGGCTAAAGAGTTGAAGGATTAGGAGCGAGCTGGATCCAAAGTCGGGGCAATCCGATGGTTCGGATGTGTGAGGTAGGTAAAACCGCCGCGGAATTATACAGCTACCTAACGGCACGAAACGAAGCGAGGAATATGGTCTGTCTTAGCTGAACCGGCAGGCTACCGTATCAGTGGGCAATGGGGATAGGAAGAGATGAGCTCTCTGGGACAGGGCCTCGGCTAAGGAATTTTGACTACTGGGGCAAAAGTGTGTTAGCCCGCGCCCTGCTGGGGGAGGGGGGTGTTTGAACATCCCCTCTCATTGCTGTTTTTCGCGAATATCTCAAAAACGGCCGCGTGGAGCGCCGCCGTTTTCGGCACACCTTATCATCAACCAATTCTACACATGTTGTAAAAATGTCAGACCAAGGTCATTCAAGGCCAGGTCAATACATCTTATCATCAACCAATTCTACACATGTTGTAAAAATTTCAGGCCAAGGTCATTCAAGGCCAGGTCACTACAAGTGACCTCACCTCATAAAATGGTTCGGTATATGCCATAGCTACACCGAGTGACCGATCGCTTAGACACTTTCAGCGATTGATAACGGCAAGAGCATGTACAAAATGTTTATCTCGGAATTAATTTTCACATTGGTGACCGGTTTATTTTGCGACCTCTCTAGGTATTTAACCCGCGAGTTGCTGGGGGGGGCGTTAAACGCCCCCACTTTCTTTTCGCCGGGCCATAGCATAAAAACGGCGCGCCGCAGGCGCGCCAAATTTTGGGTACCTGTAGGGAATTGAAGTTTATTGTGACAAAGTTTAAAAAAAAATCGGTCGGAAAATGTTTGAGATATCGAGGTTTTAGTGACGTCATGATTTCTGAGTTTTCGACCAAAAACGGCATATGTTCAAAAAATCATATAAAATCACAGAATAGACATACAGACATGCCGTAAACGCCATTAGACTGCCAATACCATGAACAATCAAATGGCTATCTTCGATTATTGATTATCGTTCCGCATTTTCCAAAATCTTGAACTGAATCTTGGCAATTTCTCGTGACTACTTCACGACCATGATACATGCATTTCTTAAATTGAGGTTTTTGAGCCAAACACGTACACATATGATGAAATGAATGTGACCATCGTGTTCTACGCCCCAAATTACCCATAAAACATGTGTCACAGGCTGCGAATATCAGTTTTGATTTTCGGGGATATGTGCCTACCCGGTTGACCTGACCTTAACCCTGACCTATGCTTGATTGACCCCTACATGGAGCTGACACTCTTGTAGGCCTTATATGATGGATTGTGCACCGTTTTAACAGAGTTTATGACGAGAGGCGCCCATTGCGAAGTCCTGAAATCCATGCTACTGAAAGCCCGATTTCAGGTGTTTGACCTGACCTTGACCCGACCTGTGACCTCAAAATTCAACTTTGAAGTACTCATCTGAAGCGTCTCGTCGCGTTCTTTCGTTTGCCGCCTCGTGCGTTTCGCTGCGCCTATTGATTCTCGAGTTATCGGCTGGGGGCGTTTAACGCCCCCCCCCCCCAGCAAACGGTGGGTGGCGAAATACCCCAGCAACTGCCGGGTTGAGTCAATGGGAGACAATTTTAAACCACCTCTTTTGAACGAAAGTCATTCTAAACACTCTCAAGTCTCAAACACTGAATTACAAGTAGGTTTGACACACTGAACATGAAAATGGCACCCGTGACCCCTGTTCATACCCCTGAGGTCATCTCAGGTCACGAATGGTATCTAACAGTTTTTCGCGACTAACTTTTGAAAGAGGCATGCTAGAGCGATGAAAACGCCCTATGTGTTCATCTCGACGATACGGATCCACTGATATGCAACATGGCAATTTCTGGTTAGATCATGAACTTTACCTGAGGACACATTTTCAAGTTGACTTATCATGTAAAATTAGAGTTCATTTGATGCGTCTTGACGAGAGGTTAACACGATGTCGGTAAAAGAAAGCTCGTGCAAGGCTTGAGTCAAAAGTTATTGTAGGAAAAACCGTTCCCGAAAAATCGTCTTTTTGGGAAATGTTTGCCCCCTGCAGGCAAAACCGTTGAAGTTAGTCAAATCTGAGAGAAATACTCAGAAAGAACACTAATATGGCCATCAAATGCGCTTCTCCGCGGCGCTGTAGCTCTGTTGGTTCCCGAGTTATGATCCGGCATCTAGCAAATTGTCGATATTCGACCTGAAAATCGGCGAAATTTGGTCTTCAATGACCCCCAGGACATGAACTTTGACCTGACCAAAAAAGTCGCCGAAGTAATTTCCTCATTATTTTTGACGCTCTTTCGAACGAAGAGCAACTTCTGGATTATGGGGATGCAAAAAGATATGTTTGCCAATGCACGCCTATGTTTTCTTATGAAAACTGAGGGTGCAGCTGCACACCATGCACCCCCTTTTCCTCAGCCCATGATTTCTTGCCACAAACGTCTTCAACTGCTCCCGAGTGAAAGAATGTACGTACGTTAATATTGAGATATACTCATTTTGTGGAGGTTGGGCAAAACCTGACCACTACTGGGGCATTCCTTGACTCTACTGGGGCATTTGCCCCAGTAGTTAACATGTTAGCCGAGGCCCTGCTCTGGGATGGCATCCGGCATCAATTATTATACATTGTTACAACATTGAATATCGCCAAGTTTTTTCCAGACCTTTCATAATAAGTTGTGATAACATTTACAGTAAAGAGCAAATTTCACACCGAATTACAAAATAACGAATAAACATCAATATACGAGTAGAATCTTTGCATCTTCAGAAATATTGCATGTTAACCTTCCAGGCGGTGGGGGGGGGCATTTTTTTGCCCCCCCCCCCCCTTTAGTTTTTTCGATATATCTCGAGAACCGCTGCGCCGATCGTCACCAAACTTTCAGTACCCTCCCGGGAGCAGCTAGCGCACATGGTGACCAAAAATTTTTCCAAAGGCTATGATAGGTTGGCCGCTAATGACGTCAGAGTGACGTCATTTTTGCCATTTCCGACCTAAAAAAGGTTTCGCGGGAAGGGCTGTCAGGCCTACAGCTTTAGAGATACAGA